AATTGTACTGAATAACTGGGCTTTAACAAAATGCTTACTTTAGATTGGGTCTGCATTATTAATAAACACATTTATCAGGCACTGAAAGCTTTGTCATGTAAAGTCCTAATATTTGTCCTTTTTCAATCGAGATGATGAACACAGTGTGATGAAATACTGTTAAAGTAGAAAAACATACCAGCAGACCCTGCTCCTCCCAGGTACTTCTTCTGATATGTAACATCTCTGGCACTTTGTCAACATGAAACAGGATTGGGCAAAACAGTGGTCTCTCCCAGCTACAACCTTGCAACTCCAAACTGTCCTCTCAGTCATCACTTCCATCTGTGCTGAGACCATAAAATGAGAACAATGAAAGTTCTCTACTTTTTTTTCTGCTAAAGAGCTTGGCACAATCTGGGAAAGTCAGCTCGTGTTGGCTGACAGAGGAACACTGTAGTTCCCAATGCTTCACAGTGACCAATCAAGCATAATTGTAGCCTGACTTTACTGCAGCACCATCCTTGTCCAGTCTGGGCATCCTGGCTGATGGCCATTTTCTCTGCAATTTCAGTTCCCCTTCAGTAAACTCTCTCATTAAAAAGTCTTACATGCATTTGCTAAAACTGAATAAGTATGTGCTTTGCTGGTGATGTTTCAGGAGAGCTGGCAGAATGCGTGAGATTGAGCAGTGCCGCCCAATTCACTGTGTTGCATCAGTTCATGTTGTAGTTTCACCACTTGTTTGGGATTATCTGAGTCTGAACATTATACTCTTAAAGCTCCCATCAAATATTGTGTCTTAGTTTTATGTCCCATGACTCATTTTTGAACTAACTGATTTCACTCCTTTATACTGAATCTAAATAAGATATTGACGTATGCACTGTTATTGTCAGCATTTACATCTTCACTGGAGCAGTCACTTGACAAAAACATTCAAATGTTATTTCTTCATTTTCTTTATCACTGTCCTTTACTCTTTGCAAACCCCTCCCTATTGGATTTGCGAGCGGTATGAGTCACAACAACCATTTAAAAGGCTTTCTCATTAACCAGAACTTCCATCTCCATGTATTTGCACTACTGCCACTACAACTCATATAGTATTAAGTCTGTGAAATGCAGGCCATGCTGCTTTTTTGCTGTGTCTTGGTCTTGCTTAGGCTTGGTCCATGTTTTACGGCACCCACGTTTATTCTGGAGGTAGAGAGCTATCCTTCCACAGAACCACAGGCTGACTTGAAGCTGGCCACAGTAAGTGTATAAGCGCATGAGTTTCATCACAAATGTCTGAGATCGGACTGCATGCGATTTAATCTCTAGTACAATGCAAAAAAAAAAGTGTTAATCGTATTACATAACGTGCAATTTGGTGTATGCAATATATATAGTACTGTGTGTAATCTATTGTAATGCATGCCACAAATAAGAAGTTCCTCTGTAGGGAGAGTCTTGACTTTCATTCATAGCATTAACTGAGTTGTACCGGACCAGTTAATGTGCCTTGGTCTTCAGTGCAGCATGTTATCTGAACTGGATCTTAAATGTACTCACAGGAATACCTTCAGAAGTTCTACAACCTACCAAAAAAGCCTTCGGGGCGCATCAGGCGGAGTGGGCCCTCCTTTACCTCAAAGGTGAAAGACATGCAGAGTTTCTTTGGGCTCAATGCAACTGGTGTGTTAGACTCAGAGACCCTTGAGGTGATGAGGAGCCCTCGATGTGGTGTTCCAGATGTGGAGGAGTACAGTAACGCTCAGGGGACACGATGGAATAAGAATATCATTACCTACAGGTATCTACTGCAGCTTTTGATAATATTAATGATCAAGGTGCTTTGAATCTTTTTACTTTAAAGTACAGTTCTTTGTGAACTGATTTAGAAAGCCAGCTGGATTTTCAAAAGTATAATCATACAGCATATATTATGTATATTTTGCCACTATGTGCTTCTATCATTCATTGTTGTCATATTTATAAATATATAGAAGACATTGTGCCTTGATCTTGCTATAAATCAGCAACACGACATTTACCTGTTGCCTCTGCAGCATTGGCAGGTACACCAGAGATTTGCCTCGCAGCACTGTGGACTTCTTGCTTGAGACAGCGTTCAGGGTTTGGGCCAGAGCCAGCAGTCTGACGTTTGTTAGGATGCACAGCCACAACGCTGACATCATGGTGGAGTTTGTGACCTCTGGTGGGTTTACCTGTATTGAACAGTGATAAAGGATATTTAGAAATACACTGAGCCATTCTCACAGATAGAAAAATACACTTGTCAGGCATGTATCATGTATTATGTAAAACACAACCACATGGAAATATACACTTGGGGAGCTTCAGCAGTAATTTACCTGCAAACTGAGGTAGCGTCATCATGCAGTGGCTGCTGAACTTGACTTGATGAGGTCAACAAAACCCTGTAATTTTCTTTAGCCATGAAAGAAAATGGTTTTCTCTGTGGTTTCATTTGCATGTTTGACCTGGATAATATTATGAAGACCATGGTGACTTGTATCCCTTTGATGGACCCAGAGGCACGTTGGCTCATGCTTTTGGTCCAGGTTTGGGGGTTGGAGGTGACACACACTTTGACGATGATGAGCGCTGGACAACAGGAAAAACAGGTGCTGAGATGAATCACACTTGTACTAAGGGAACTGTACTGAAAACTACAAAAATCAATATTTATTTGGATGCACCTTCTTTGTGATATTGCAGGATTTAATCTGCATGTGGTAGCTGCACATGAATTTGGCCATGCTTTGGGCCTGAAGCACTCCAGAAACCCTGAGTCATTGATGTATCCCACTTACAAGTCTTCACGTGGAGCCAGCCTATTAGCCAGTGAAGATGTAGCAAATATCAACACACTTTACAGTAAATTGTTGTGATTTATTTATCATATGACTATTAGTTACAGTATATTTTTACATCTTTGTATTTCTGCCTAAGTGCAACCTGATACATAACGTATCTCTATGCTGATGACGTGTTAGGGCCAGTCAGAGGTCACTCAAATTACCTATCGAGGTACAACTGGAGCTCTCACCCCTGGCTGTCAGGATCGCTGTTCCCTCAACTCATGCAGAAGAAATGTGCTCCAGACCTGACCTTTGATGCAGTGACCACTATTGGTGAAGCCACCTTCTTTTTCAGAAAGAGGTACTTTGATAACTTTCATTCAAAAGAGATTACACATATGTTCAATTTAATACAGTATGTACTTTCAGTACATACGTACAACAGTCAGTGATAAAAGTGTATTTTTCTAATCTAACTGACAATATTTTCCCCATAAGATATCTCTGGATTAAACATAATGAGCAATATGACATAAAAGAAGGTCCCATCACCAACTTTATGCCCAAGCTCAAAACCAGCATTGATGCAGCGTTCTGGGTACCTCGCCGATCTACTGCTTACCTTATTCATGGTAACTATTCAATAGTGTTTCAATAGCCTCCAGTAAATAATCTGCATCATAAGGTAGGTTTCACTGATTTCATTGTAATTCCATCTACTGCCAATAATCAAACTATTATTTAGCCCATGGCTCGCAGTAAATAAATAAACAAGCAGGTAAGCAAATAAATAAATAATCAGCTGTATTAAGGAGTAATGATTTTGACAGTCACTAAATTAGTGGCTGCTCTGTGAACTAAAGCTGTATTTTTCTTTTCTTCTTATTTTTAGTAGTATTAAAGTGTCAACCACCATCTCAATGAAATCCTGTATTTTAATATGTATTTTTTAATTGATGACATTAGTTCACCTTTTATTTGAAGACGAATCCATCATTTTCATGAGATTTTGCCTTTGATAGAATCCATATTCTGGACAGTGAAAGGCTCCTTTGCGAAGGGGAAGCCCAGATCACTCAGCCACTTTGGATTTCCAGCCTCGGTGCAGGACATTGACGCAGCAGTGCACATAGTGAAAACAGGACGCACCCTCTTCTTTATTCAGGACAATTACTGGAGGTAAGATGACAAATTAATGACATTAATTCAATTATATTCAATTATAAAATTTTAAAAAAGGAAACTGCAATCACTACATTGAGATTTACATATGAAAAGATTTTTCTTAGCTGGTTTTGATAGTTTAAGGTTATTTGAACAAGTTTGTTACTTGTGCACTGGAAGTACATACAATAAATATTTTTCACTTAATAAATGCTCAATACATTTGTTAGCAGTAAAGACTGAACTAAATTAAATGGCCATCTTCTTATTTTAGCTTAACGTAAGTGCTGATCTGAAACAGTGTTCTATTATATAAAACAGTACCTTACATATTAAAGACAAACCACAAAGTAGTGCTAGGTTGTCTGAGATCTTACTTGAACATTTACTGTGTCATTTGGGCCTCACACAGAAAACAAAGGACTCAGTTTCTGATGATGTGATCCTAGCAACCATACAGTAAATACGTGTTTTGTCTAAGCTTTGAGCAATGAACAGATGATTATGACTCATGACGTCTGAGAAACATTGTTTTTTTTTCATGTCCTTTTCAGTTACAATGAAAACCGAAGGGTTATGGACTTTGGTTACCCAAAAAACATCAGTGAGGGCTTTCCAGGAGTCAATGCCACAATAAATGCAGCTGTTTATAAAGAGGGTGAGCAATGATCATTGTACATGTTTGCAATGAAATTGTAATTGTTAGTCTACTTTAATCTTAATTTAATCTAAAAATGTTCTACAGAAATATATATAATGAACAATAGGCAAACTGGGTACAGGCTGTAAAGTGTAGCAATCTTGTCTAGATTTACTTCTGGGTGTATCTTAAGGGCTTTTCTAAGTTGCATTGTTATTAGTAGCAGAGGAATGCTAATTCACTTGCAGCATCAGCTGTGTGTAATTATGTGGTTCCCCTCTATCATTTAAGACTGTATAATTTCACATACATGGTTCTTCATGTGATATGCTGTAATGTAACCTTCAAGCACAGCTGGATATTTAAGTTTAGCAAGATGCCCATCATTGTCATCATTATTATGATCATTAACAAACAACAAAAACATCTTAGAGAACACAACATCAACATATTATGTGAATCACTTTGCTTGTTAAAGGTCTGACTTTTCTCATCTTAGGCCTCATCTACTTCTTTGTCGGACCACAAGTCTACAAATATGACTACACCCACAAACATGTTGTAGGAGTTGAGAAAGCAAATTCCTGGCTTGGCTGTTGAAATGCTGCAAATCTAGAACATGCAACAATTCCTGAAAGCTGTGATTAAACAACCAGAAGAAAGAAGCGCTGCCCCTTTAAATTTTGAGTAAAGTTTTATTTATCAGTACTCATTAAACTGGGAAATGACAATTTAAACCTGATAATATGTATGTGGTTTTTATAGCACAGTGAAATGCGCTCAGCATTTTCAGCTCACCTTCTGTATTTTGTTTAATCAAATCTGCATATCACTGCACTGTAAACTCATTTACAGATATGATGGCAGAGCATACATTAGGTTCACCTTACTAATAGTTGCAGGTTGAGTACAATCTATAAAAAACTACAAAAAAAAAAAAAATACAACAACTTAGGATGCACACACACACACACACATCTTTCATTATTACAGACAAACAATAAAGCCCAGACATAGTATGTTGACATTTCATTGGGAGGTTTTAACCACAAAACCTCCAGAAAACTGGGGGAGTTAAACTGAGCTGTAAATCAGGACTGTGAGCTTTTGGGCCATTTGATTACTCAGCAACCCCAAGAAAGGCCCAAGATAAAAAAAAAAAGTAAAGCGTGATGTAAATGTGCATTTGAAACATGCAGTTGCTCTGGCTGTGAATACCTGTTTTGACTTCTCTGATGTTTGTGGAAATCTCATGGATTCTACCCACTGATCAGGATCAGCAGCTGAGGCCTGAGGATTTGGAGCTTGCTGACGAACTGTCCTATAACAAATATATACAGTATGTTAGCTTTAGATATCTCATTAGTGACTTTTGCATTGATTAAGGCTCATATGGACTTGATTTTGTTCCACCATGGCTTAGCTACAGTATACTGCAGATGTGTTGTATGTATTTTTCAAATAGCACTATATTTATGTAAGAAACTCATTCAAACTACAAAACAAATGCTGTTTTGAGTGTAAAGATTATCTCATTACATTAAAGGTGCTGTCAGTTGCTGGGACATATTTGCTCTTTGTCTACATTTTCATTGCTATAATAGATAAATAAACAGAAATGGGTGACCTTAATATTTTCTTGCAAAGACCTAGTACATCTAAAACATGCACATCTACTGTGAACTGGCAGTAAACAGCTGTTACTCGACTGCGTTTTGCAATATGAAACATGCAAACAGGCTAAATCACTAATGGCACAGCAGGTGTTTGACAGCGGCAGGAAAGACCCTGGTATAACATCACTAATCAGGGTGTGGCCACACAAAGCTTTCAGCCCACAGACAAGAGCAGTTTTCAGTGTACTATACTGCATCATTTCAAACTTCAGTTTCTCCATTTTTCACAGGTTTACAAAAGGGTATAGCCTAACAAGGTGACCACAGGCTTTGAAATTCTTTCTGAAAATCATTTTAGAAAGTTCAAATCTTATTCAGCTTTATTTTAGTCCTATTGTATTTTAATGTCGTTTCGTTCAGATTTATTGCACAATTTCTCTCTCACCTCCCACAGTGTCTTCTCTGTCCAAAATTACCCACTGTCAGTAACACATTTTATTTTACAAATAAAAGTACCCGGATATCCGGTGCAAGTGCGCTCAATAATAATGTCCGACGCTCAATAATAATGTCGAGCTCCTGAACGTGCTTGACACTGATACTTTCCTTTTTTTGTCGATACTCACGCATCGAATCGTATTATTGAGACATTTACTCTCCGCGTAGCTCAACTTTATAACGATATTCCCCACAGGAGCTACTCTTAGGTAGTTAATGTTAGTGTGTAGCCACTGTATGTAAACAATGCGATGAAGACGACAGAAGGTTCCGGTTGACACAGAAACAATTTGGAGCACGAGCTGATTATCTTCTGTTCCATCGAGGTGCGTGCGTTGCATTTTTTAGCTAAGCACTGCTGTCGTATATTGTCTTAATGGAGGTTGCGGGGAATTACTAGGCATTACTTACACTATAGGCAGGTTTCAGTGTTGGTGTGGCCTGGCTTATAGTCATGTTGCTAATTCCAGCTGAGCGTATGAAGTACCCGTAGAGAAAAAGGCAATTTAATGACAATGGCTGTATTGCTAACACTTAATCTGTCTGCAGAGCAGAAGTTCGTCACCGTCTCCTATGGAGTCACTCAACACGTTTGAATCTGAGATAGAGACTGATGGACAGGGGAACTACTCTCTGTTTCCTGCTCTGGACAGCATTGCAAGTCTGTCTGGGACCAGTGAAACCCTGGAGAGGTTGTTTAAGATAATGTGATTTTAAAACACGCCATATGTTTGCATTATAGGCCCACTGCTCATATAATGTATATATTAAATACACCATGCAAGAAGTAATGCTTCCATGAAGGTTACAGAGTAAAGCAACATTATTAGTAATACAGTGTAGATGTTCCCAAATGGGAATCCGTTGTCATTGTGCGTAGTTTTGTGCTCAAAGAGAATGAAATCTTAATACAAATTTAATATGATATAAGAACTAATTAAATAGTGGAGGAAAAATGCTTTGCCTTGATGATCTTGAATTGTTTATGTTTTTATGTGATGATTTCCAAAGTGACAATAAATAATGTTACTCTAGATGATACTAAATGTTTTTGCAGTGAGCCACCCAGTGAAATAGCAGAAAAACCAAACCTCACATGGCTTGATGCAGCACAGGTATCTGCCCTATATATATTATTGTATAGTGTTATTAATAACATTCAGCACAGTTCACTCTGACATGTTTTGTTTGGTTAGTGCTTTTTGTTTTTTCCTTATTCTGGTGTAGATTGTCTTGGAGGAAGCAGGACGTCCCATGCACATAAAGGAGATTAAACAGAGAATCATCGACAGGGGACTTGTTCAATCCAAGTACAGCAACCCTCTCACTTTCATTACACACCTTAGTGTCCTTATGTTTACATATCAAGCCAAACCATAAGCAATGAGGGTTTTTCTTGTGTTAACTGAATATTTATGCCTAGTGTGTGTCTTAATTTCTTAAATAGACCATACACCTTTTCTTGAATCTATAGTAAACTGCTTTTCTTATTGTTCTCTACTTGGCAGTGCAAAATCAAGCCTGGAAGCGGTCATGTACCGGGAGGTAATGTGGTTGTTTGAGACTCGGTCTGACAGCAACCTCTGCTGTTGAGAAAAATAACTTGCACCTCCATTTAGCATTTGTGTTGGTTGAGTTGATACAATACATGCATCATCTGTATTTCTGTTAGTATTTTTTCATGTTCTTTCATCCTTGTCTTTTGACCTTAGTTTACAATTTTAAAAAGATAAAAACTGATATTTTTGTGCTGTAATCAGAAAAAGGATGCATAGATGCACAAGCGTTGACCCTGCTGTATCTAATAATGATGGAATTATTCTAAATTGTTTCCCAGCTTTTGGGAATCAAATCTGGCTTTTCCAGCCCCATGCATTTGGCTTCAGTCTTACATTATGTTTCAGACACAAAAAGGCAGCAGGAGGTTCAAGAGGATTGAGAACAGAAATGGAGTCTTTGCACTGCTGGTGAGTTATATGGATGCTACTGGCAATTTCACACAAAGCCCGAATATTTTATGGGTTATAAAAAATGCATATGACCTTTTATGTCAAACGATTGGTCATGGATAAATACTGACACAATGCTGTTCACACAAGATCTGGGTTGGCACTGTGTTTCTATAACTGCCCGGTATATTCTATTTTATAGGCTTGTTGAAAATTACATTGCAGCATTTTTAAAATTATTAGGCATAGTATTTCTGCAGTCAGTGTTCTCTGGCAGTCTGATAATCTGGTATAATGTCATGGGGTATCTGCTGATTATTTGCTTACTTGATTAAAAACAGATACTTGGATATTAAAGGTAATGCTTGTGCATCTACATGACCCAGGAGCAGAATTTTAAAGGAGAGGCAACTAATATCTAATTAAGCTTGCAGTATTCCACATTACTAATAAGCGCTTGATAATCCTTTAACTACTATAGTACCAATATTTACACCATAAAAAGTGTAACAAATGAGGACTCACTACTCGCTAATGTATGTGAGTCCCTCTCTGCTGTCACCCTTCTAAATTTAGCAGTCAAATGCTCTCTAAATATCTAATTGATGAATGACAACCAAACGAAAGTCTATATCTACACAATAGGGTACAGTTATCTTGGGTTCACAAGGAGCTTGGTGATGGCACTCTACACAGAGTGAGGAGAAGAAACCTCCATCCCCAATAAGGCACACACTCACGTACTTATAACAAAAATAAATGTATTTCAGGAAAAAAAACTTAATCAATATCATTCAACAACAAGACCCTTATATTTCCCAAACAGACCTGGACCTGAACAAGATAAGAACAATATTCCAAAAACAGATTATCCCAATAAGGTGCAGTTCAGTCACTTCTTTCCAATTTGACGCGTCAGTTGTATGGTATCAGGTTCGACCCAAAAAAATTAATTCAAAAGTAACAAATAAAAAACGTAAATCCTCTGTAATCCTACCACCCTCCTGGAAACAGGTGGTCGTTGGAATCTGGAGTATCTTTCGCAGGCGTCTTAGGTGGCATCCAGTCCGTGGATGGCGCTGCTCAGCTCCTCTAGGAGTAGACTCTACCAAAAAAAAAAACCAGCCTACACCCAATTGTGCAGGGAAATCCTTC